AAAATATATCTAACGAGTTGATGAAAGCGTATGTTTTTATGAAATGTTTTAAATATGTTCAATGGATTCTTTTCTTCTTGATGCATTGCATTCTTCAAAACAAGTTAAATATAACGTGTTCATTCTAGGTTCAAAGAGTCGTTTTTTATCTTCCAAGGAGATTGCAAAAGAATTGTTAAATAAGCAACTACCACCTAGAAAATTTGCTTAACTCGTTTTGAACAAGTTTTTAATACTTTAGGTTATTTTTATTTTTATCTTATGGTTGTTTCAAGAATCTTATTTTATTTTCATTCAACAAGTTGTAATGTTTGTGTGATTTTTTTTTAATTCATTAGTTTTGACAAACTAAAATGGAGTAGAACTATTAAATATAGAGGTTAAATAAAACTAAAATACTAGCAATGGTTGTGCAATTGTCTTTATAAATTGAATTTTCATTATAAAGTTAGAGGCGGTTGCAATCGCCCCTAATCATTTATAGCTAAAGTTTTTTTTTTTTTTTGGAAAATTAGAGACGGTTTAAAACTACCTCAAATATTTTATGGAACAACAAAACAATAATTAATATTATAGGGATAGTTTTATATGTTCAAAAAATCATTTAGAGGCCGTTGCAACTATCACTAAAGGCCCGCCCCAATATTCTCTAATGGTTGGAAAAACCATCGTTATGTCATAGAGACGATTACATTACAAGTAGTTTTGAGATGGTTGAAAAAACCATCAAGAAATTTTGTAGAGGTCATTAGACCAGCCTCTAAAGGATAGAAAAATTATCGAAATGGTGATCTTTAGTGTAGTGATGCTTGTGTGTAAAGATGTGAGAGTAGGGATGGCAACAAGGTGGGGCGGGGTGGGGATGGCCCGCCCTTAAAAAATGTTACCCCATCCTCGTCCCATGCCCGTTTAGGGTGATATTTCACATATCATCCCCGCTCGAAATGGGGACGGAGATCCCTACGAGGCACTAGAGCCCCATTTAACTTTTTATGTTCATCCCATTCCGCCCGATTGTGCCTCGTTTAATTCTTCGTCTACCCCACCTCACCCCATCCCACCCATTTTACTATCAAATTTAAAACTATAGCAAAAAAAATTATAGCTCATATAAAAACTACAAATTAAAAAAAAAAATCATTTAGCATCATATTCAACTATAAGTTTACAACATAATTCTTAATATTAAATTATTTTCAATCGAATAAATAACATACTTAATTAAAGAGATAAAATATCACAACCATCAATATCACAAATATAATTAAAACAAATCCTTGTATGTCTTTACTACTCATAGATCATCAAAGCTTACTCATCATATTGCACTTTAACATAATTGTCGATTACTCGTAGATCCTACATTCATTAAAAATAAAAATAAATTAGTTGTAACAAAAATTTTTCATGCTATCATTTAAACTTTGACATATTATTTTATACATTCATCTTGTTCCGGATGCTCCTCATATACGAGTATAATAACCATCCGAAACAAATAGAGTTCCACCTAGAAGCAAATATAATAAACATAAATAACATATGTAAAATTTTTAAGAAATTAATTAAAAAAAATCAAATTCATAAGTACAGTTTTAGTAATTAGTATACTACTTTTATTTTCAGCTACCCACAACCAATTTTAAGCACACATTAATGCTTCCACCGTCTTTGGATGAAGTCTACTTCGATGTGGACTTACTAGCCTACCACCAATGCTAAAAATTGATTCTAAAGCAATGGTTGATATAGGAATTACCTGACACATCCTTAGCATTTTCCATCAAATTAGGAGACTTCATCCCATTTACTTTCCACCATATTAGAATATCAAAATCTTTGCTTCTTGGAATAACACCCTTATTTAAGTAGTAATCTAGTTCGTCTTGACAAGCGTAACCTTGGCTTTCTTCCTTGAAACATACAAGTCAAACTCGGATTCTATATCCTCATAAATTGTTAAAGGATTAGCCACAATAGAGCTACCACATCCTCCATCCACATTCATATTTTTTTAGTACTCGACTAGCAAACCATAATAAAGCTTCCTTATGTTCTCAAGTTGAGCCATAGCCTCACTCCCATAAACTTTCTCAAAATAGAACTCTAGTGAATCCATTTTGTAACTAGGATATAAAACTATAACTATTCCTAATATTTCATGAATCACACTTCAATACTTATTGAACTTGGCTAACATACTTTCTATCATTTCAATAACCATTTGATTAGGACAAGTGAGCCATTAAGTCAATGCAACCTTAATTTCACAAATTTTAGTAAAAAACAAATTAGTTATGGGGTATCGAGTTCCCGAAAATAATTCAATAATACCGTAAAAGATTTTCAATATCCTTTACATTTCCTTTATAAATTCCTAATCACAATCAGTAAGTGCAACTTTATAATAAGGTATGCTTCAACCTAGAAAAACAATCCTTATATAACAAAGTAATTTCAAGTATCAACTAAGTAAAATTCCATCTAATTGGACAATCTAAAGCCAATTTCTTCGTCATAGGAATGAGAAGGAAGTTAGGATTATCCTCAAACTTCTTAACTCTTTTAGGAGTTGCTATCCAAAAGGCTATACTATCTCTAATTTGCTCAACCCTTCCTTAAATCTTTCACTATTAAGTCGATGATATGAGCACAACACCGTATATGCAATAAAGAACTAGAATTCAACAAATCTACCGATTTCAACTTATCCCTCACATGCTCAATCATCAAATCATTGGTGGAACAATTATCCAATGTAATAGTGGATAATTTGTCTTCAATACTCCAATCCATCAAACAATCAATTAAAGTAGTTGCAAAGACAATGCTTGTATGTGGATAAGGAACATACATAAACCTAAAACAAGTTATAAATTAGTTATAAACTAAAAATATTAAACTAAAAAAAAATTAAACAAACATCATTAAGTTAACAAGAAATGAAAAGTACCTCAATAAGTAGCTTCGTAACGTCCAAGAACTATCAATTTAATGAGCTGAAATAATCATGAATCCTTTCTTTTAATTGCTCGATGTCCATAAAATCAGTAGTGATGGCAATTCTACTTCCCTTTTTTTTTTTTTTTGAAAAATCTCCTCATTTTGGCTCTCTCATTGTCATATATCTTAAAGGCATCATGCTTTAATGTATTTCTACTTAGACATTTGAACAATGGTTGAAGAGTATTTATAAACTTCTTGAAACCGATATCGTCAACCAAAGAGAGCGAGTATTCATGCATTATAATCATAGAAATAAGATCCTTTCTTCCCATCTCTTGATCAAAAGAATAAGACATTACATCACCAATTAAATTAGAAGTCAAAACCTTTTGTCTTATATCTATAATTGTCCTTCTTGGACATCTCTTGAAGTGATCATGTAAATGTTTAGTACCATTCTTTAACTTGCCTCTAAGTTGCTTCTTGCAATAATTGCATCCTACCTTGTCTTTACCATTCATATTTTTTGTTGTAAAATGGTTCCACACAAAACTATATTGCCTTTTAGAACGAAGATCAGAATCACTTAGAAGTTCACCCAAAGTAGGTTGTGGAGATGAAATTGATTCAAGTAACTAGAGTAGATAGAGTGGAATTCGGATCTATTAGTGTAGAGTCCGTAGAGTGATGAGAGCTACCTCCATCTCTATGGCTTGTCATTTTTTGAAAATATGCAATAGTTTAAAAATCATCGATATAAAAAATTAAATTGCCAACACGAAACAAAATTTTCCCTCGAAAACATAAATATTTTTTGTTAATTAGTACAAAATTATGAGGAGATTAGAGGTAATCAAGAATTCAACTTCGGTTTTAGGAAAAAGATTTTAAATTTGAAGTATTGCCCAAGATTGTTTGTAAATATCTACACAGCTTAGGCAAATAAATACATAAATGAATCCTTTAAGCTAATCTAACGAAGTGATTCCATGATAGAATTCGAATAAATCCTAGAGGCAATTAATTTGGACAATTAGGAATTTTAGAGTATCTTATAATTAACTATATATTAGAAAAAACAATGTGGAGATTAATATAATGCTAGCTACTCGCCTCATATATAACTCCAAAACCTATCGTTCTTTTTATTGGAATTCCCACTAAGCTAGTCCAAAATTTCCAAAATCACTCTTTTTATATTACTACTTCATTCATTGTTTCTAAATACAACTAAGCATGCTCTTAGTTACCACATTTTTTATGTGGCACATTGAGGTTCAAAAAAAGTAATTAAAAAAAGAAAAAAAAAAAACCCTAAAGTATCGTGGGCGTTCATTAACCTAGAGTGCATGCTAGATTGCAACGAGTCATGCACTTGGAGTGCCTACTAGCTCACAAGGCACTCCTATGCTTGGAGTGCCTATCGGCTCGTAGGCATTGCTCGTTGGCTCGCGAGCACTCTTGCAACAAGCACTATCCCGAATGCTTATGCATATACCTCAAATGCATGTACCATAAACTTAATTAATGTGATCTCCACATCACCTCTAATAAAATATTCATCATGCAATCATGATGCATACATTTTATTTTTCCTAACCATATACCTATACGAGTTCTTTTGGTTATTCTCTTAAGTAAGAACATTTGTTTGATTATGTAACAACAACGGTAGCTCATCTTTTCAATATGAAAACTCACGCGAGTTCTCATTCCATGCTTCTTTTTGGGGGGCTAATTTGCATAGATGGAACTTTTAAGCAACATCATCGGTATGATTGATTTGTTGATTTTCCTTATGGGAGAAGCATCATTATAGAAAGGGTAAATTATTTTTGAACTGCTACATCTAATGCATTGGAAAATTACAATGATCATAAATAGGACTAACATATACATGGTGGCAAAAAGGGATTAATAGAGGAGCTGCACAAATATGTATAATTACCTAGCGGTCGGTGGCCGATGGGTGACACCGACAGAGGGCTATAGTGGTTGGCAACTTGGCGTCACGGTAGGATACTAGGCTATGGTGGTGACCATCGCGATGGTCGATGGGCCGTGGTGGTAAGCAATCACTAGTAAAAGAGACCGAACAAGAACGACGAAGAGAACCAGAAAGGCGAGAGAAGGTGAAATGCTACCGTGTCGGTGTAAATTGTAATTGTCAAATTAAATCCTAAATAGATAAGTACGGAGTGGGAAAAACGAGGCGGGGAAGGCAAATACCTCCCCCACCCCATCCCTATTGAAAATAAACATGAGATAGGGTGCCCCGCCTAGCTCCTTAGTCAACACAGGGAATCCCCTCCCCAAACGAGGCGAGTCAATTTGCCATTCCTATGTGAGAGTTAGGTAGTGTGCGTATTTATATGGTGCACTAGATGGTCATATTAGCTTCTTCTTTTTTCTTATTTTAGTTATATATATATATATATATATATATAGGGCTTGGATGGGAGACCAAGAAGGCTGAGTGCTAACATGAAATGTGGCCTAATGCACGCTTGGGCTTGCAGACCCATGCCTTCTTTTTTTAATATATATTTTTTTCCATTTTTTTAATTTTTTAAGATTTTTATTTTTGAATAAAAATATAGGATGATGAGAGTTTCAATATTTCACTTGATAGTAGATTTATTCTACTAATGCGGTAGCTTTTCTTTCATCCCAATTCATTACGGCAAGTGACGACTTGGGAGATTATGGCTATAAAAAGTTTAACTGATATTGACCATCTTGATTTTTTATGAAATTTGATTTTTTGATTAAAAATATGTAATCCTAATTCTTAACGCTAGGAAATTGAAATTTGTCAATATAAATAATTTTTTTTGGAATAGAAAATCAGTCCACTTTTTTTATAAAAACAAAAATTATTTCCAAATATCTATTAATTTTTTCTTTCTTTCTTTTCAAAGTGCGAAATATTTATCTTAAACTATTGAGTTTTTGCCTTCTTAACTATCTGAGTAAAATGGGATTCGAATTTATAAACTCTTCTATTGAGAACAAGACTCCTTTATTTATATTAAACTATATCTCTACCTATGTAGGTTTATGAGATTTGAGCTATATGCTAATACCTAAACCATTTACCTTTCCTATCGGCTAAATCGTAGCATTTATATTCCATAACTGGATTTTCTTACCAAATATAATTTTTTTACTATATATATATATATATATATATATATATATATAGATAATGAAGTATTTTTAAATCAGTTTTTACATCAATTAAAACTAAATTTATCATTTTTTTAAAATTAAATCAACATCAAAATACACTTAGTCTAGCCAAATATGGTTATAGCACAAAGTTTTACTATAAACTATTATGAGAAAGGAACAACGAAACAATAAAATAAAAATGATTATTTAAAAATTAGAGCACTTCTCTTTGTGGAGAAATTACCTTTCCCTTGCCAAGTTAGACTATCATTATCGATAAGTTTTCTTGTCAGATCTTAGACGGACATTTAGTATGATTTATTAAGGGAGGGTTGTTGTGGATAAAATAACTGAAAGAAAAAATATATTTTAAATTTTTCTGTATTTGTTTCTCTAAAATATTTTATAGAAAAACTATTCAATGTAAGATATTTTACTACCAACCATTAAACTTAATTCATTTATTAAAAAATATTTTTTATTTTATGAAATTGGATAAAATATTTTACAAAAAATAATCACTCACAATATTATCCAACAAGTGCTATTACAATAAACATCACCACCTCGCCACTATGACATCTACTACAAACACCACTACTTCATCACTCAACCACCATCACTACTTCATAACCATAACAATTCACCATCATTCTACTGTTATCGTACTTTTTATATCATTACATGCCAAACATCATAAAATATTTTATGGATAAAATTATATTGTACATTATTTTTGATGTTTTATAGGAAAAAAACCATAAATTGTTTTACGAAAAACAAATTAAGGCCACCCCTGATATTCATAGTATTTTCTTTGGAGAAAATACAAAAAGAAAATAAAGAATAACTTCACCATATAAGATACAAATAAACTCATAAAGGAAAATCTATATATATGATTAGCTCTATTCGAAAATATGACATGGTTCAATAAGAATTAAAATATGCCAACCAAACGTGCTAAAGCTTCATAATGATAGTTGCCACTAAAATAAGAAATATGTTTAAGAAATTACTATAATAGTTAGAAAAAAAAATAACCATCAATAAAAATTTTAAAGGAAAAAAATCCATTATTAGTAATATTAAATCTATTTGTAGGCAAGTCCAAGTCATTTTTCTATAGGCCTAAGTTCTCCACTATTTATATTCATTCACAGTGCCAAGAGTAACTCACACTTCTTTTCCAAAATCTGTAATACAGAGAAGCAAATAATGGGCAGGCGAAAGATAGAGATAAAGATGGTGAGAGATAGCAGCTCTCGACAAGTGACTTTCTCCAAGCGCCGAACAGGGCTTTTTAAGAAAGCCAATGAGCTTGCAACCTTATGTGCTGCGCAAATTGCCATCATCGTTTTCTCTCCAGGGGGAAAACCTTTTTCATTTGGCCATCCCAATGTTGAGTCTGTTGCTCGGAGGTTTCTAAATCTGGAAAAGAAACCAAAAGTTTCGATTGGCAGCAATGTTGATTCTCAGCGAGAGGCTAGATTGGAGAAGCTTAATAATCAACTCAATGATATGCTCAAGCAACTTCAATTTAAAAGAAAGACGGGAGAGATGCTAGAGAAAGCAATGAAATCGAAAGGATTGAAATCCAAACCTGTTGATGAGCTAACTCTCGATGAGCTTCAAAAGTTAAAGGGAGAACTAGAGGAGCTTCGGGAAAAGTTGCGAGGGTGTGTTACGGAAATGGAGGCATCTTCTTCACTACTGCTTCTCGCAAAGAAACCTATTGACGAAAAAAATGAGTAAGATTCTAAAATTTGAAAAAAAAAAAAAAAAAATTGGAATTTGTATTGACGCCATCATCTGTCAAAGCTTCAAGAAATGTAATTTGAGAATTTATGGTTATGTTTCCAAATCCTTAATAGAGTTATGCTAATATGTGTTTGGGTTTTTTTCTTTTTTTTATTTTTGCATCCATGACTTTGATATTACTTTAGTGAGTAATGTTCAAGGAACTATCATTAGTATATCTAACTAAACATGAAGACATAAAATTATACGAATAAAAAAAGATATTTATAAACTTAAAATCTAAGTTAAAAATAAAAGTTGATTCATCCTCAATTAATAGGTCAGATTAATGGGAAACGAGAAGATAAGTGGTATATGAAATAAATAAATACATCTGAGACAAGACCGTGTTGATACAAGTTCACAAAGAATAGGATTTATCCAAAGAAAACTACCACAATATTATTATTATTATTATTATTATTATTATTTTAAGGAAATAAAAAGAACTACTACCTTCATTTGAAATTAAAAATAAAAAGAAAAGAAGAAAATGCAACATTGTAGAAAGTCTGAGATATCAAGGATAGAAAAGCTTCTCTTTTTGCTCATTCTTTCTTATTCTAGAAATGATTTATCGTTATGCTAATTTGCCCATATTATACATGTAGCAATGTTTTGCTTCTTACCATTTTTGTTTTATTAAAATTATATGATAACTAAATCATTTATAGAATTAATAAACCATCCAGAAATATCCAGGAAAGAAAATAGAATATACTTCTTAACCAATAATAAAAATAGTAAAAGCAATAATATGTCAAGTTTTGGTTGAATTTAAATCAGGCATTCACAGGATATGGTGATTCTAGTAAACTAAATCGTCTGCTTTAATTTGGTAATTACAACGAATATGACAGTGAATTTGCCAAATATAAAAAAAAAAATACAGATTGACAATCGACTGTATGCGCCTCATCAAAAGTTTGATCCTATCTTCGATTTCACTGCATCAATATATGAAGGAAAAACAAAAAAAGAATAACAAAAGGATAGATCAGAAAGACGATTGTTATATTTTTTTTAATGATGAAGTAAAAAAGAAAATATCTGATTAATTGTGAAAACAACTAATCTGATTAATTGTGAAAACAACTAAAAAGGAGTCCAAACTTTTTTTATGATGTATTTTTATTTCTTTATTCTTGAAAATATGTTATGAAATTAAGAGTTTCATAGATGACAAAAAATGATGATAGTGGAAATATTGGTTGCTTCTATCCGCTGTTAAGAGATTATAATTGTCACTATCAATGCCAGACTTTTCTATTAAAATTAGTTAAAAAATATAAAACCGCCACCTAGTACTTCAAAGAGACTAAAAAAGTTTAAAAATACACTTGTTTTATGGATATAGATAAGGAGTTTATTATGTTTATGAGAAAATAACCATCACTAAAAAAAAATTCTAATAAAGGTTATCTTTTATGTTTTTATTCATAAATTCATTTTCTATAAATAATTATTTGCCAAATTATTTCTTAAGCTTATTTTTAAGTTTCTTTTCAAGCCAAGTTGATATAGATAGGAAATTAACTTAAAATAATTAATTCTTCAAATTTATTTGTTCAAGCCTTTCGAACTTGATATGGGTAGGGTTTGAAAAACAAGCTCGAATGTCCATTTTCATTTTTTTTTTTTTTTTTTTTTGGATCAAGTCTCAAAATTGGGGTTTTAGCATTGCCTCGATAGTGCATGTCATAACCAAAATTTCAATCTTTTCTTATTTATTTATTTTTAGTTGGTTATTTGTTTTCTTTTATTTCATTTTAAGTTTTTTTATTTTTTTATCTTAATTAGTGTTTTTTTTTTCATTTTACTTAGTAATTTGTAAAAAGGAAAAAAAGAAGAAAAAATACAAAAATAATTTGAATCTAACATTCGGGGATGCAATTGTATTAAATTCAAAATAATTACAATCATTGGGAATACAATTAAATCATTCAAAGTTCAAATGTCAAATTACATTGCACATGAACCAAGTTAACCTAATAATGATTTACGGGGACCAAAATTGCAAAATTGATAAAAAAAAAATCAAAAGAAAGAAAAAATTGAAGAGGAGTGGGTGATTGGTTGCCCACTCTCGCCGAAAACTAGTTTCGGGAGTTTGGTAATCCTGCGATGAATCGGAACCAATTTTGGTTTCGATTCATCGCAATCTCGTTTCATTAGGAACCAATTTGGTTCCAGTTTTAGCAACTTGCAACCCACAATTCCTTAACTTGCAACCCACAATCTTTGGGGTAATTTCTTTTAGTTTCGCCTTTAATTTTATTTTATTATTTTTTTTTTGATAGAATATATACGTTTGTTTGAAATTTTAGGGTTCTTTCTTTTGAATTGAAATTAGAGTTGGGAAACACAAATTAAACTCAATTTAATTCAATTGGAGTTTCAATTTGGGGTTCAAACCCCAAATTGAAGCCGATTTGATTTCAATTAAAACTTAGGGTTTTAAAGTTTTTTGAACAAAATTGATTTGGGGGTTTCAAGAAATTAGTTCTTAATAAGTGGGATTTGGTTCGATTTAAAGAGAAATTAAGCCAATTAAGGCCAATTAAAAGAAAAAATTTTGAAGAATTGAAAAACTTAGGGTTCGCTCGGAATTAGAGAAATTTTCAAAAATTAATTTGGGGCTTTCAATCTTACTTGAAGGGAAGGGGTTAATAGAGTGAGAGGGAAGGAAAGATTGAGAGAGAAGAGGGAAGATTATTGTTTTATTCATCATGGAGATGCGAGCAGAAGAAGAAGAGAGGACGGGACGGATCGGGAGAAGAGAAAGGGAAAGAAAAAAAAAGAAAGAAAAGAGAAGAAAGAGAAAGGGAAAGAAAAAGAAAGAGGAGAGAAAGAGAGGGGGACGGACCATGACTGGTTCGTCCATGGAGAGGAGCAATCAACTAGGAGGGAAGAAGAAGAAGAAAGAAAGAAAAAAAGAGAAAAAGAAAGGGTAAAACGGGAGAGAGAGAAGAAAAAAAAAGAAATAAGTGTTTTTTATCCAAAATTTTTAAACAAAAGGAGATAAGATGTGTTTGTGGGTTAGGTTAAACCCAACCCACACGTAAATGGGCTGGATTGTCCAGCCCATTTCTAATTTTTGTTTTTGGGTTGGACTGACAGATCCGACTCACCTCTTTCCGTAAAAAAAAAATGGGCTAGACTTTCCCTCTTCAAAAATTATTTTTTAATAAAAAATGCAAAAAAAAGAAAAAAATATATTTTATTTTATTTTATTATGCATGTTGTGTAATTAATTTAGTTCATGTAATTTTAATTTTAAGTTTATTTATGCATGTTAGTTAATTTATATTAATTTAGAATTTGTTATTGTAATATTTTTTCATTGTTTAATTTAACCTTGAATTTATTTTATGCATGCTTGTTGTTAATTTAAACTTTAGTATTTAAATTCTCTTTACTTAATTAATGTAGCTTAATGTATTTGTTTAGTAATTAGGTTTAGTAACTAATGGATGGAGGACTCGTCGAGTCTCCTAATTCTTTAAAGACTAATGACAAGTCTTCCACCAAATAAAAATAACAAAAATATATATATATTAAAAATAAGAAAAATGAAAAAAGAATAATCATAAAACTTCTAACAAAGTCTCCAAGCCGATATAGACTATTGTTAGTCAAAAAAATCATTTTAATAAACAAGTGTTCTCCGACACACCAGCTTATGTCAAGACTCAAAAAGTGGATCCGATGTTTAAATCGATGTATCTCCCGACGAAAGGGGTCCGACGATCATTTCAATATAATGCCATGCTAAAAAAAAAAAAAAAAACTTAATTTGGCTTGAAATAAAGGACTTGGAAAATCGAGTTTCAAAATTGAAAATGATTTGGCAAAAATACTTTAGAAGATAACTTAGGATTAAACTAGACATGGTACATTTCTTAAGAAATGGCACTTTTAGGTGATTAAATATCTTCCCACAAGCGTAATCAACTCCTTGACATAGAATCTCCGAACTAGTGCTAATTTTAGGTTCCTAGTTCCTTTAATACTAGGTGGTGACTCCAAACTCTATAAAATAATTATGTAAATAGATAAATCTTAAATTAGAAATTTTAGATTTTAGGGACTTCCGTCCGACGTCGAGTAGCAACAATCCAATTAAAAGTTTCGACCATCTTGTCTATTAAAGAAGACAAACTAATTATTCTAAGGCGAGCCAATATTATTTTGCTTTGTTTTCTTTCTTTACCCCCTTGGATTCTCATTATCCGTCTTTTCATTTTCACCTTCTCATTTCCATTTTTTTTTTTTTATCCTCATTAACTCTAGACCTTTTCTATTATCCGTGCCATTAATGCAGGGGTCAAATACACCTTGTGCTTACGTACTATACCAAAAATATTGTTCCAACCCTTATACTCAAATAAATTTCATAACAAATCTTGCACCATTAGACGTTGGTACAAAATAGCCCTATCGTTAATTTTTTCCATTAGATTGATAAATTTTTGTTAGTTAACTAACATCTAACTAATTAAATGACGACACATGTTAAATTAAGGGTAAAAATATAATTTTCTTTTAAAATAAGTTTTTTTCAATTTTTTTAGAGCTAAAATAATTAATAATTATTATAAAATCATTATAAATTGAAAAAATTATAAAAGAAAATTTTCAAAATAATATAATTTTTTAAAAAACGTTTTCAATGATTTTACAATCATTATTGAAAAACAAAATTTGTATATATATATATATATATATATATATATATATACACACACACATAAATTTTTAAAAAATTTTAATTGTATTATAATAGTTATAACTAGAAACATTTAAATACACACACACACATATAAAAAAATATTTTTTTTCAATTTTATAATAATTATTGCTAAATAAAATTTTTAAAAAGAATATAAAGAAATTTTTAATACTAATAATTATTTTAATAAAAAATTTTGAAACAAACAATATTGATTGTTATT